GCCACCATCTCCACTGCCATCACTGCTACTGTGCATGCTCTCACCTCGTTCTTACAGTGGCCCTCGGCGGTCAGGAGTTTACGTTTTCTCTGGGCAGGTGAGAACCCTGGCATTCGGGGAAGCAGAGTGACTTGCCCAGGTCCCTCAGTTCACGAGTCACTGACCAGGACTGGACGCAGCTCCAGCACAGGCCAGAGCAGCCCTTCCGACCTCACCAACGTGGCTGCTGAAGCCGTTTCCTCTGAATCCACTCACATTCTTCCTTCCTCAACCTGAGTCAGAATGTGCCGTGCTGTCTAAGACCCACTGGGGCTTCAGACAAACACAGCCACCCAGTCAATGCCCTTCCATCACAGGCTCCATGAGCATTTCTGTCCCCTTCCTTCCTTCCTGCTCCCTTCCCTGGTGGCTCATCTGGTCTTTCTCCAAGTTCTCCATGGCTCCTTCCCTTGGAGATAGGCTGGATGAAGGTGGGGAGAGAAAACTGGCTTCTTTGTAAGGAGCTGTGGTGGCATAAGGCATTCGACTGCTAACCAGAAGGTTGGTGCTTCAAACCCACCAGCCACTCTGTGGAAGGAAGACTAGGCAATCTACTTCCATCAAGATTTGTTGTTGTTGTTGTTATGTGCCACCGAGTCAGACCCGACTCATAGCGACCCCTCCTTGGGTTTCCGAGGCAGTATTACTACAGAAGTAGATTGCCCTATCTTCCTTCTGAGGAGTGGCTGGTGGGTTTGAACCGCCAGCCTTCTGGTTAGCAGTCAAGTGCCTTAGGCACTATGCTACCAGAGCTCCTCATAAAGATTTACCACCTTGGAAACCCAAAGAGGGTCACTATGAGTTGGAATTAACTCCATGGCAGTGATTTTTTTTTTTTTTCCATTAAGTCTTTAGGCGCCCTGGTGGTGTAGTGCCTAAGGCATTTGACTGCTAACCAGAAGATTGGTGGTTCTAACCCACCAGCCACTCCACAGAAAGAAGACTGGGCAATCTGCTTCCATAAGATTTACCACCTTAGAAACCCAAAGGGGGTCACTGTGAGTTGCAATTAACTCGATGGCAGTGAGTTTGGTTTTTTGGTTTGGCTTCTTTGTGTGAACTTTTCTCTAAGATACTTCAAAGGAAAATGAAACAAAACATACTGGGAGTGCAGCGTGCATGTGATAAGGACAATACAATGAACGGCAAACACTTGATTTACAAACTGACTTACATCCTTGGTGGGGAAAAAGCACGGTTCCTGCTGTGGTTCATCTTCTTGGCCCCTCCGGGAAAACCATGAGGGGTTCTAGAAAAGAAGAGGGGTCCCAGGTACATGGGGTCCTCAGGATGGAAGTGCCTGCATGTGCTAGAACGTGCTCACCGTGTACGGCATGGCTTCCAGGGCACACTAAAGACGAGACGTGCACATCCAGCGGCCATGTGCACACGCCATGAACATGGTCACGTGCATGTCCAGCGGCCACGTGCACACACTGTGAACATGGTCACTTCTAAGATGGCAGCTGTGTGCACGCCCCCACCCGACCTCCTGGATGCTTGGCGGAAACACGCAGGTGGCAAAGCTATGACTCCTGCTTTGCAGAAACACAATTAAATTGCAGGCAAAAAAAGTTCAATCCACTGTGGACAGCTGCTTTTATATTAAGATGAATTCTAAAGACAGTCCCAATTACGTGCACTGGAATTTTATTGAATCTAATTTGCTTTAAATAAATAGGTCATCAAACTGTATCTGACAATCTTTTCATCATCGGGGATTATCATTGTGCCCGCCGTTTCTGATCTACCCTGGGTTCATATTGCCCTTAAATTTTATGCATAAGTAGGTCATTTAGCATTCGGATCATGTTCCACTGATGAATCATTTTCGAGTTTCAAGGAAAGAACACGGTTGCTTATTTAACCCAGGATATCCCCAAAAGCTGTTGCTAATAATTCTGCCTCAGAGACAGGAAGCTCTAATTTATAGCATTATGTTCCCAAGGGAAGCTTCTTTCTGAAATTTGGGGCATGAGCAAGGTGTCTTTCCTGGACCATGTATTTTCATAGTGAAGACACATCTAGTGCATATTCTGTGTGTCTGAAATGGAGATGGGATGTTTCCTAACGGGGTGTTCTGGAGTGGTGTGTGCACCGCGTATCCATGGAAGTATGGGGGTTCTTTAGTAATGTGTACCGAGTAGCCATCAATGTACTGGGCTATTCTGGAGTGGTGTGTGTACCAAGTATCCATTGATGTAGTGGGGTATTCTTGAGTGGTGTGTGTACTGAGTACTGATCTACATACTGGGGTGTTCTTGAGTGGTGTGTGTGCTGACTATCCACCGATGTACTAGGGTACTTGAGTGGTGTGTGTACCAAGTACCGATTTATGTACTGGGGTGTTCTTGAGTAGTGTTTGCATACTGAGTATTGACCTACATAAGAAAGAACATGGGGTAGTTATTTCTTAGCAGGAGTGCCTGACGGGTGCAAATGGTTAGATGTGCTTGGCTATTAACCCAAAAGTTGGTGGTTCAAACTCATCCAGAGGCACTTTGAAAGAAAGGGCTGGTGGTCTGCTTCCACAGACCAACCCTTGAGAATGCTATGGGCACCATGCTACCCTCACCCATGGGGCCGCCATAGGTTAGAGTTGATGGGATGGCAGCTGGGACTGGGTTCTTAGAAGCTCCCCTCGGTTGGTCTGTGTTGGGTTAATACCCCGGGACTGGATTCTTAGGGGGTC